CTTCAAGGAAAAAAAATTCTATAGGTGTCAGCATTTCCAAATGATTGGAGGGGAAGGGGTATCTGTAGATTTACCAGATTAAAAGAGAAGGTAAAGAAGTGGTCATGCGCTACTCGAAATGAATAGACCAGGTGGGAGAGTATAAGGATCGAAGAAATATAAGAAAGATTGTTGTGGTAGCAGTAGGTCGATGACCCCAACCAAGATGGTATGTGTGACTCATCGCAATGAATAGGGACTGGAGAAAGTTTGGGGGCTTCACCGGGAGATGCTAACAACTAACAATCAATAGATTTAAACATCTTCAGGTGCTAAATCGATCAAAACACCGCGTGGTCCTTTCATTTAGGTCATATGATGCGTAGAAAGAGTTGGTTAGTAGCACAGAAGGAACTCATCTCATCATAAAGGAATTTTATGTTTTATAATAGATTGAAGTGGATTACTGAAGAGAAAGCAATAGAAATCCGAGAGAAAAACGTTCCATTTCATTTAAAGTCAAAGAAACTGGTTTCCTGGTGTGACTTTTTCAACTTTCGACCACACAAATAAAATTATTGTTATTTCTGATTTTTTTTCTTATGGAATTCTTTTGATATATAAGTTACATTTTTCAAAAGGTCAAAAAACGCAAGCTTTTATCTAACAACTACAAATTCTATTAATGCCATATTGACTATATTCAACCTTTATTCAGTTTCTACAAGTACAAGTTTATAACGATCCACGACTTCCGTATTGATGTCGGAAAATCCATACAACATGTGTGATTTTAATGACAGCAACAGAGTAAATGGTTGCTATACGTTCAAAGGTCGTTGAACTTGGTTTTATTTTTAAATATCAAATTATTTAATTAATATTATCAAATTAATCATAATCAAAATAATCAAATTTGCTTCAGCATCACCATCGAACAGTTTAATTAAAAATAGCATTCGAAAGATTTCATCTGCATGAAATATGATTAATTTTGTAATTAATTCTAATTACAAAATTAGAAATTAAATAAAGTTGAAGAAATGATGGATTTTCAGTCTAATTTTAGCCAGGATAAAAACACAAATATAAACATTTATTTATTTTGAAAATTTTTAGATAAAATTAGAAAATTTTATTATTATTTTTACGCAATTTAAGTGTATAAGTAATCAACAACAACATGCAATATCTGAAATGCTTGCCCCAAATTTTAAAATAGCATTTAATTAGAAAATGTTCCATCTGATTTTGTTAGTCATTCAATGGTCTATTTAAACTTTAACAGTATTAATAATACATTAAAAAAAATCTAATCTTTGTAAAATTTCATTAAAAATTTAATTTTTTATTTTCATCTAAATTATTTATTATATTATTTCNTTCCGTAACTTATTGCTGCATAATTTTGTAATATATCCCCATGGGTTCTTTGAAATGATGGTGCAAAAATTCTGCCAACTGCGTGTTTTCTCTTTTTTAATTAAAAATTATCAATGATAAGCACTCGTATTTAATACCTTTATCACATTTAAATGATGGAGAGAATAAATTTGTGAAAACGCTGCAATAATTTTTTTGTGTAATTTTATTTTTTTAGTTTATTTTATTTTATTTTATTATTTATAAAACAACAAATGCAATATTTAATAGCAGTTTAGATTAAAAAAAATAAAAATGTTATTCAGAAAAACCAATTTGCTATTATAAACTTGTACTTGAACAATTTAAGCTGAAATCTCAGGAAAGTACTTTTACTATTGTATAACTGAATTAACTCATTGAGTGCCATCTGGTGAGTAAATTCAGAATTAAAATAAATATAATTTAAATTAGTTATTATTTTTAATTTAATAATTTTATTAAACCTATATATAATATATTACTACAAATGAAGTGTAGTGCTATACATATATAAATAATTTTAATTAAAAATTAAAATTTGACAAACAAAATTTAGTTTAAATAATTTTTTCATACCTCCATGCGTTAAACTTACATACAGTATCTGTAATTATAGGCCTATTAATTGTTTAATATATAAATACATTAAAATATTTAAAATTGTTTTTATAGACATTGTAAAATAATTAAATAAGTAAGCCATTAATATTTATGTTGGGGTAAATTGTTACAGTGTAACAACTTACTTGAGATAATGTTGCTCCATTAATAGCTTAAAATGAATTAACATTAATTGAATATTATTAGTACTTCTGTTATCTGTAATCACTTATCACTTAGCATTAAAATAATTATAATTTTAACCCTACATTAATCAGTAATAATCAATAATAATATAATAATAATATAATAATCAATCAGTCATATTTCATTTCCACTCTTTCTTTTACTTGTTTCTTATTATACATTTGATGTTGGGATGAGACAACAAATGAATGTGATACTGCTCAAGGATATTTCAAACAAAAATTTCGTCTCTTGGAATTTCCAAAGAAAATTTGATCGGGCGGAAAGTAGCGATTAGGGGTGTTTTTGGACGTCAGATCTCGTTTAAAATTGAAAGCGCTGATGTGTTCAAGACGATAACTGAAAAATTTTCTTTTAGCTCTCAAAAAAGTCTGTATTTTAATAAACTTGTATCCATTACATATTATATTATATGCATTTAAATAGATTCATAATGAAATTAACTAATAAAATGTAATCGCAGTTCATGATTTTAAGTATTTTTATATCGTGACTAATTCCAGTTTTTTAAACTACCATAGATAATATCTTGAATAATAAATTATAACTATAGACTTGTAAAATATTTTGTTATGAAATAAGATCATTTTATATCTTAACAAANGTTATTCTATTTATGTACTGAACAACATACTTATAAGTTAAATCAAATATTGGATTTTCATATAAAATGTCATTGATAATGCTGAAAATTTAAATTGCAAATTCTTAACTTTAATGTATTTATTGAACATTTAAAAAAATTTTTGTACCCGGACCAAAGTGAGGTTTTGTGGTTGTTTCGACTACGTTGTACCGTCCGGTTTTATTGGCAGAACCTACGACATATTGGATTTTCATATAAAATGTCATTGATAATGCTGAAAATTTAAATTGCAAATTCTTAACTTTAATGTATTTATTGAACATTTAAAAAAAATTTTTGTTTGTTAAAACAAAGGGATAAATTGTCACTTCGCTCCTCTCAATCATTGCTCTCGTGATAACTAATTTCACTTCCGTTTCCATCGAGAAATGAATGATTTGTCAAGCAGAGAGAATGCTTACTAATGTATAACTTTATGCTTTACTGAAGCGGACGTCAATGCCATCAACCAACAAAGCAACATAGAAAGTAATCAAAGATGTTCGGTAAATTATCTTTTCGCCTTAGAAAATATAAATTGATAATTTTATAGATGATAAGCTAATTATAGAATTAATTAATTCTTTTCATATTAAGTTATGCTTTTAAAGCAACTGTCATGAAATACATCATGCTAAGGTTATCATCACGGTGTGATGAAGTCACGTATAATTTTTTTCTGTGTTTCTTAAGCATTTAGTCAAAGCGATTTTTTAAAATTGACTGATTGCATATTAAACTTTAAAGTAACTATTGTAATATATACATATGAATAAAATATCAGGTTATTCTATTCCATTCCAAATTAAAATACATAAAAATTGTGTATACATTACTTACGGAGTGTAGATAAGTTTTAATCGTTTATCTTAAGCAAAACAATACAAAAAGTATTTAAAAGAAACATTAAATGCAACTATAATTGCAATTTAATCGTAAACTAATTTTAACTGCGATTACTTTCAAAACATCGTAAAATTTACCTTTAAAGATTTATTCTGCTGTTAAAAAACTGAGTATGTCTGTGCGCGAAGTATCAAGAATATATTTATTAATTTTAAACAGGATAATGATAATATTTACGACTAATTAGTCTAATGGAGGCGACGAATCAATAGACAGCAAATGAGAATTCTTGAATAAAGTACCGTTACTCAAAAAAATTCTCTTTGTTTGCATAAAGATTGCTTAGAATACAAAGTGATTTTTAAACCGGATATTAATCATTTAACAATAAAATATAAATAATGGCGGATATCTGACCGCATTTACTTAATAAACAATGAACTGTTTCGACTCCTTGTCTGCGAGTATTTAGTGTGCGCCATAATTTTTTGCGGAAATATGCAGTTCTCTATAGTCGGTAACTAGCCAACCGTGACGCCCTGGCAACCCCCCATTTGCTAAAGGCGATGAACGCCGAACTAGGCGTTGTCGAAGCTAAATCATTCCACCCGTTAGGTCGATCCACGCTTTACAAATAAACAAGAACCGGCGCTATAAGTTATAACCGTAACATTATTAATACCGTTAATAAGAGAATTCGTTTTCATCCATGAAGTTGAGAAAGCGCAACGCCTACTTTATTTATTCAGAAGATTTGAACTATGAACGGAAATAAAAATTGTCGAAATTTCGTAAAATCATAAATTAATTTCCCAATTTTCTGGAGAAAAAAAATCGTTTCGATAATGTCCGAACGTCCAGACGAAAGATGGCGACTGGAAAAGCGATGGTAAATTAATTAGATTTAAGGTTTATCGGGTCTAGTTCACTGTTCCGGGAGAACATGTGACTATCCAAATTTAAATGAACAAATCGCCAGAAGGAATACAGAAGCTGGTCACACAATGTGATAAAAAAAAATGAGTGAACAACCGGTTGAATCTGTTATAAAGTACTCTTGACTATTTTTAATTATAATTTTCCCCCTCATTAACAAAATGACATCCTATGATATGTAATAATAAATATATAACAAAAACTAATTTTGTTTATATTTCCGAGAGTTTATACTATTTATTTTCAATACGAATTCTTCTTATATCAATTAGCATTATAAAATTATATTGAAATATTCGAGATGAAAATAATCGCCTTAATACCTTCTTGTTGTATATGGAATTTTCTTATTGAATTTTCAATACTTAATCTCTATATTCCTAATTATAAATAATTTACTTACAGGCAAATGTAAAAGACCATCCAATGAATATTTGGCAGCACCTTGTCTCAATTGGCACAGAGCAACAAAATCTTCGTCATTTTGCTCTTTCTCTCGTAATAAACTAAAAATTAAAAAATATATAAATATGTATTTTTCGAAAATATTCTTCTTTATAATTTACGAACGAAACATTTAAATAAATGAATATTGTTTTATAATTAAATTTATCAAAAATCGTTCTTTTCTAAAATTAAGTTTGTATCAATAAAATAAAATATTAATTATAAATTTTTAGGCTATAAAAAACCGAATTTAAACATTTAAAATTTTTAACTAATGATATTTTAGAATATTCTATAAAATATTCAATATTCTCTACTTAGAAAACTAAGACAAACCGAAAATCATTGTCATGACATTGCATTTTTATTAGAAAAAAAATATGTCGAATAAAACATTTATTTTTTTCTTCATTTACAACTACTAAAACCAAGAATCGAATTTTATTGAATGTTTAATCGACTGAGAGACCAAAATTATTTTAAATAGTAATAATTAAGGTCTCAGTAAAATGATAATTCTTCTCTAATCACACTATCAAATGATTAAACGAAAGCATTAAACATTTAAATGTATAATAAATCGAGCAATAAACATTATCGTATCGCTATAAAGTCTTTTCTTTCTAGCTTCTTCTAGATTATTTTTTCCGATTAAGTTTAATCCAATAAAATACATTCAATTTAAGTGCTTTTAAAGCATTACAAGAACTCGTTTTTTAAGAAATTTTCCTGTTAGATAATGTAGCATGTAGCAAACTTTCTGACATGTCTGTTACAAGTTAGATCTACAAAAATTTGTATCTTACAAATGTTAAATGTAGCACTAAAATTAATAATAAATTTTCCTGACAATGTAAAAAAAAGGGAGAAATAGGGCCAAAGTCAAAGAAGCCGTCTGTAATACAGACATCACGACAAGATCATGTAACTTGATGAACTTAAGTTTATCTATGGAAAACGGAAATGTGATGGGAGGTGTTTTCCGGGGTCGTGTCAAAAACAAGGTATATGAATAAGGTTAGGGCAGGTCAAAGGAAAGCTGATATCTGAACATAACCTGATTTGTAGAAAACAAAACTTTTCAATGCGTGGAAAGGGCAATGTGCGATTTGTAGAACAGATACCGCCATAGACTTCAAAGGATAAAACAAAAGACAAAATTTATCGATAAGCTCAACGTCAACCGTATGTTAAACTATTCATTATAATTCTCCGCGATTCGATATATCAGATTTCTCAGATTTTTTTAATTAATCGGATTATTCAAAACTTTACATAATTAGACAAGTACAGTAGTAAGCAGTCAAAATTTATAATCATTCAACTGGGAATCGAATATTAAATTACAATAATATATTTATTTTTTTGTAATTTTATATTCTTGCAATTAATATTATCATTATTCGGAACGCCTAAAACTAATGGAAAAAGACATTAATAATTTCTAAAGATATCTTATTTTATTTTTTATTATTAATGCTTAAAAATAAATTTTAAGATAAAAGCGAGTCGATGGAGATGAATAAATTTCGATTTCTCAGTTGATTAAAATAGAAAATATTTTGTCTGAGTATTAAAAATACATTAATTTAATACTGTTTATTTATGAAGAACATTTTAAAAATTCGTTTTAAAATTTTATAAAATATCTTTTTATTTTTTAAAAGTATACCGAAATAAAAAGAAAGAAAAAAAAAAACGAAACTTAAATATTTCTTTGCTGTTATCGTATAATGCTGCAATAATAATGTATTTCTATAATTATAAATAATTAAATGTATATAAATAGATGACACGAAATTAAAATTTAAACAAGTATAGGAATTATTAACCAACATTCGTATCGGTGATTCCCACAGATGCCTGATGCGTGTGTAATCGTCTGAGCATTGTAAAAAGAGAATTGTCTATTTTAAGATAATAGTCCGGTCTACACAAAACCGCCTACTTAAATTCTAAGAAGAAAAGTTTTTGAGAAAAGTGGGACAGTAAAGGATTGTGGGCGTCCTGAACCCAGTCACGAATTGACCAGACATCCTCGACCTTGAATTCTTCGACGATCATTTTCCTACCACACCCATTCGATGTCTAATGCTTATTAATTATTGCGTAATCTTACCAGTTTCTGTACTTGTAATCGAGATACGGGGCACACCTATTTACACGCTTACTTTTCTAGTCGAGGAAGAACGATGGGAACCAGAAGAAAGCCTCAAGCGCCGATTGAGTTTATAGGATGTTGTGCCCATTTTCTAGTCGGCTTCATCACTAGGTCGATCGGCATAATTACTTGCTGAGATAAAAGAACTTTTAATGATTTGCTAGATCATGCTTCTTTGGATATTTTTGTTAACTCTTTAAAGGTCAATCACGCTGCCAGAGAAATGAAAGGTTCTACAACTTAGCTCTTATATCATCGCATTAAAAATTCATTAGGCTATAATATAATATCAATTTTAAACGAGAAGACAAAAATTACACGATTATTCAAAACAAGAAAAGAGGTTATTAACTGATGACTGAGCGGATACAGACATTATTTAACTTTTTTGTAAACGATTTAAGTGATATTTCATAAGAATTTACTTAATAATTAGGTAATTGCTTAAGGCGACTGAAATCTTATGCAATTACCTAATTATTGCGTAAGTTCAAGTAAATTACATAAGAGAATTTTGTCTGAAAAAAAAGAAAATAAGTACTTACGGCAATGTCGTACTCCTGAATATGCACTGGTATTCCTCGTACTTGTTCCACAACTGTTTGGAAAATATATTACCTGAGGAAGAATATGAAAAATATATTCATCTTAATTAAAAAAAAAAACAATACAACTTTCTTAGAAATTTATAATTAACTTAAAACATGGTGATAATAACGAATGATCTAATGATTTATTAGCATTTTATTCAGTTAATATTCTGTAGAGAGATACTGATCAATAAACCAGTTATCCATGTCAAAATTAATTAAACAAGTATTCGATTACAATAAAATTTTTGAAAAACTTCTAACATTTCCTATATTTTGGATATTCAAATATAAAATAATCTGTTTTCGTAGAAAAAATGAGACAACCCACAATAACGATAAACAGTATCATTAACAATAATTGACTGTAATCTAAAACTCTTTTACATCAATATTTTATATTCAATTATAGATGTGAAATCCTATACGGATCAAAGTTCACTTTTATAATATTAAAAATGATGTATTAATTAAAAGTATATTCCAAATTTTATAGTATTTTAATTTTTAATTAATATAGGCCTAAATATAGGAAATTATTTTGTAGAGGACTTTTACTTTGCTTTTGAATAAAATATTGAATTCAAATGTTTAGTTACGTGTTATAAACATTTTAACATTAAAAATTTTATATTTTAAAATTATATATATGCTTAAAAGTAATACACAGCTATTTAGATGAAAATGATTAAAATATCATAAAGCAATAGTAAAATTTTAGTATTTAACAATAAAGAAATAAAAAACTTCTATCTTGAAATATTCTGAAAAATTAAATCTTAGAACATAATTTTTTTCATTAAAATATCGATTTTGCTGCTAAAATAGCAAAAAGACATAAATTTAATAATGTAACATGGAATGAATGTATTTCATACGCCCAGTAATATTTTTGTTTTTAAAGAAAAGAAAGAGGAACAATAATATTATATGGTTTATTATTTCATCATAAGTTTTCGAAACAACATAATTTATATAAAAGAGTTTTTATGTTTCTATATTCATTTCATTTCGTGTATATAAGGTAGTTTGACTTCAATGTAATATGTACAGTTTGTCCTGCAGGTAGTTGCTTCTCTATGAAAAGGTATTTAATATATATTTTTTTCATTTTTTAAAACATATCTATTACATTTATTTTACTGAAGGGAAGACAAGTAATTTTTCTGTATCACTTCTTACATTTATAGAATAGTTATAATTAACTTTATGTAATATAGAACATAGTTTTTTACTAAATAGTTTTTGATAATATAAAATCTGATATTAATATAATAATTATAATGTGACAGATTTTCAATTATAAACAATATATTTCTTTTATTGTTTCAAAAGACATTAAATTATTTAAATATTTATATGAACTTATAAGTTTGTGTGAATGGTTCAGTTAACATGATAATTTCCTAAAAGCATTTGGTAGACAGATCAACAGGAAAGAAGTCTACACCTATTGTGTAACGTGATAGATAACTATTCTATAATTCTTGTTATTAGAGACGGTAATCATAATCCCGAAGCCACGCATTTCATACGAAATGAGTGCAAGTTCAACAGTTCATCAGTTTTACTTTTATCTTATCTTCATATTTGAATGGTAAATATTACCATATGTTTAAAAAGATTTGCAGTTGCAATAATCTAGAATTAAATTTGAATATATTCCATTACATGGAATAATGCACATTGACTTTTTACTGTGTATCATTATTATGCAAATTTAGTAATAAGTTTACAGTATTTCTTTTTCATTCAAATGTATTCAATTCTTCAAATGTTTCTACTTAATTTAAGTTATATTTTTAAAAATTTTTAAACTAGAAATGTTACAAAATATTACCATGACAATACTCTAAAGTTTTTATTGTAAGAGATTATTAAATTATTGTACATAAGTATATACTTGAAATCATTACTTTTTGCAATATTTAATGTAGTATTTTTAATTTTTAAAAAATAAACTGAAAATAATGTAACATTGAATAAGACAAGAAATTAATTTACTCATTCTTGCTGTTTCACAAAACGCTTATAATGTAATTAACTTTTAAACAGAAATATCCTTAAGTAAGTTAAAAAATAGAGTTTTTATCTGTTTAATGTTCTTTTATAATGGCCATCAATTGTAAGAAACTAAAGAAAATGTGAATAAATGCTTTTCGATTGTAAAAAGAATAAACAATGACTTTGCACACATTGCTATAGTAAGTTACTATAAACTTGTTTCTAATAATAAGTTACAGAATAATATGGATTATTAACATGTTTCTTTTTATCCTAAGTAAATTTCATATATCAACGTTCAGTACTATGATATAGTATAGACTCGCTATTATAACAGATAAAATTGTGTTTAATAAACATACGTTGATCTGTTTTGCTGTGCTAAAATTGGAAAATCATGTATCTAACACACATTTGATAATATATATTATATGTAGGGGGCCTATTTTATTTTTCGAGCCGATTGTTTTTATTACCGTGTGAAAATGAACTATCATTACAACACAAGAACTTTAGGTCATTGTCTTCATCTTAACAGGTCATAAAATTGATAATAGGAATAAAGCAAAAGTGTCAGATTATTTAATAATTGATTTAACGAAAATCTATTACTTCTGATTACAAGAATTTATTTCGTTAAGTGCAAAAGGAAAAAACAATCCTGTTAAAAGGCAAAAAAAAATTTTTTAATTCTTTAATAAACCTATATAACAATTCATATTGATCTTCTGCACAAGTTTAACGTTCTTTTACTCATCGTCAAAATATAATTATATTAGAGTACGTGTACCATTATAATCCACACAGTCATTCAAAGGTGATAACTAGGACAGACATTTTATTCTTAGGAGATTGATACAAAAACTGTAGAAACAGGATGTGAATCAAATAATGGGTTTGTTCAAAATTGCAGAGAATAATGACACCTTGAATGTTTTTTAGGCGGAACTTATGAGTAAGTCTAATCATGCTTTCTTAATAACGTCTAAAACTAAAATTTTAAAACTCCATATTAACATATTTTGTCTGGAAAAAGAACATTTCGTGTTTTTAATCTTCAATATTTTAAATGTATTTAAAGTTGAATTGTTGTTACAAATAATTACAACCTTTACATAAAGTTTGATTCATTTTTTAAATGTAACTATTAATATGCATTTAAAGCAATGCAATTAAATTAAAATCTTTTAAACCTATATCATAATTTGTAGAGTCATTAATTCAAAATGTATCTATAAATTCAAGTAAAATGTTTTAAACTACATTAAAAAATAATTTAATGGACTCGAAAAAGATATAATAAATCCATTTACAAAATATCACCGCAGATTCTCTTCCTAATTTAGAATATTTTATTACTATATAATGTATATGCCATAAATAAGACTTATCAATAGATAATTAGGTGATCAAGTATGATAGAAACAAACTTATACCCCTGAAGAGCCTCTTATCTGCCTAAGGATTTGTTCCTTCATTGCCTCGCCCTATTGAAATTCAATAAACAAAAAAAAAAGTACATTGTACTGTCTTAGTTTGCGATTAGTTGATACCTCGAAAGCACCTCTAATAAATTATATGCGAGAAAAGAAACTAATCTGTTTTCATAATAACAAAATGTACAGCTTGAAAGCTTGTTTCTTAAATTTAGAAGAGTGTAGTTGATAACTATCTACGGTGGCAGAATGATAAATCTGTTTAAAATATATCAATATTTAGATCCAAATAAGATATGAACTTAGTTAATGTGAAAATATATATACAATATAGAGATTTTTCTCTTGTTTTTTAGTATATCCGATAAGTATAATAAAGAAAATACAGTTACATAATCAGTAAAATCACTCACAGGAAAATAATTATCTTTCTTATCCATTTCGATCAAAGTTTTTGTTTTTTAAATATTCAAAACTAGCCAAAAAGCATTTTATTGATATTTTAAAGAATAACAAAAATTTTTTCAATAAAAAAATTATAAGTTTTTATAAGTTTCGTTGATACAATTAGCTGATAAATCAATATATAGGTCTAAATATTTATAAAATAAATGAATAAAAATACAAATAAGAAAGTAAAAAATGAATTTTTCAAATTAAAATATCAATAAATTTTAAATTAAAATGTAGCTTAAGAACTTAAAATATAAGCTTTTTAGAAATTCTATGTATAAATGGACATACATTAGATCACATGCTTTGTTGAACACACTAAAATTTCTCTTGTTCTCACACTTGCTCTGCTTTATTATACGCTTTGCTTCATGAAATAATCTTAAAATTTTTGAAATTATTTTTGAGAATTTCGAATAAAATTTTTGTTTCAACCGGAAAAATGTTCTTGAGAAGAAATTATTTTCAACTTCCTCGAATAAAGATAACTTCTTCTTATTATTANTATATATAAAGAATAAACTTTTAGATAATAAATACTTTTATTAATAAGAATTATTATAATTCTAAATTAATTTAAATTCGTTTTCGTTCATTTTATTATAGAAAACTATGCTTTTAGTAACGACATTCGATGTCCCATTTATAAACGATATTATCATCAATATCAACACTATCATTAAAATGTATTCTTTTATTATTTTCCAGTTCCAAAAAGATCCCCAGTGTATCATTTCCTTATATCCTCTATTATTTTTCGTCATTATCCTTCTTGTTCAACTGACTATACTTTTTTCACAGAACATTAACAAATAATGACTTAATATTACACCATAAAATTGCAAACTTATTCATCTTTAATAAAGTTTTAGGGCTTGTAATCTTGTTAAAAATAAATTATTTTCTTATATTTTAAATGTAAATTTTCCGTTGCTTGAGACTGAATAAGAATTCTATGCAATATATGACAACCTCAAAGTTGATAGAGAAGAATATATTTAGATGTTCAGTTAAATATTGCCTTGTACTCATAACTCGGAGGTCAAATCCGTGTAATGGACATAGAAATAAACAAAGACTAAAACAGTTCTTCCTGTTAACGCCAAAAGGTACAACAATGGACTAGTCATGGTTG